TAGGAAAGCATTCTCAATGCTTTCCTATGGACACTGGCGTCTTCTCACTGTGAAAATCACAGTGAGAAGCGCGGAAGCGCCTCTAGCGGCTGTCAATGAGACAGCCACTAGAGGCTGGAGTAACCCATTTGTAAGCACAGCAGTTTCTCTGAAACTGCTATGTTTATAGAAGAAAGGGTTAATCCTAGATGGACCTGGCACCCAGACCACTTCATTAAGCTGAAGTGGTCTGGGTGCCTATAGTGGTCCTTTAAGTTGTTAACCTTTTTAGTGTATTAATACTGCCACCTGCTGGAGAATGTTACATGTATGTTTTAATTTTGATGGATAATAATATAAGAGGGGAAACACTGTTCACAAACCTCAAGAATTCTTCTTTTGGAAAATCTGTTTTGCAAGAGCCCAGTATTAAGCACAGCTTAAAGGGACACTGTAGGTACTATAACCATTTCTTCTCATTGAATTGTTATAGTGTCTGGAGTCCCTCCAGTAAACTAGTTTCGAGCACTTTAACACTGAATCAGGGTCCAGTCACATTCTAGCCATACCAATGCATACCAGCAACTCGCACTGTGGTATACTGAAAGAGGTCAGGTGACACTCTCAGCCAATCACAACAACTCATTGCTGCTCAGGCTAATGCTTCCTCATTAACCCAAGCAACACTGATTAGATGGGCTGCTCAGGACTCTCATTTAGCATCAAAACATTATAGACCTTAACACTGAATGGAAGGACAGTTCCAGGGGCCTACAGACACTATAACCACTTCAATAAATTAAGCTGTTACAGTGGCTCAAGCAGGGGTAGGCAACCTTCGACACTTGACACAGATGTTGCAGACTTCATCTTCCATAATGCTGTTTAAGTCATAATGTTGGTAAAACGTCTGGGGAGATGTAATCCGTAACATCTGGAGTGTTGAAGGTTGCCTATCCCTGGCCTGCAGTGTCCCTTTAATGCCAGAATGGATATTAACAACACAGGGTTATTCACTATACACTAAATTTCTGCAAATTAAATACAAATGGCAACTTTTAGGCTAAATTAACAAAACTGTGATGATAGCAGTTAGGGAATTTTTCCATAAAAGCTAATTTAACCTCTGTTGTGCCATTTGGATTTAATTTGGTAAAATTTGGAGTTTAGGAAATAACCCTGTAAAGTGATGACATGAATTGCAATTTGGCAATATTGTGCTAGACTTTGAATTTCTTACAATTCACACTTTTAGTTGATAATCTCAAACACAAGAATATGACAGAGTTTGTTCCATCACTCTGTCTCACATTCAATAGGCTCCACTGGATCTCCCCATCATGGTGGAGCAACGATATCTCTGAGCACTGTCACCTACTTTACGGTTCCACAGGAATAAAAAAAATAGGAGAGAAAACTTAGCAAATGTGTCTAGGACTTCTCTTGTATAGTACAAAAATAAAAATTAAGGTTAGAGGGAAGTTTCCAAACCAGAAAAAAAAACATTCAAAAAATATTCAAAATTTTTTCACATTTATTGTATTTGAAGAGGTAGGATAATCAGAAGAAATCCTTTAAATGTGTGCTCTTTCCTGACTTTCTATTTTTTCCCCTGTTAGTAGAGCGACCTAAGTAAGACACTGCTGTTGCAGCACATCTTAATCTGTCTAGTGACTTTGTAGAATTCATGTCCAATAAAGTAAACCAGGAAACCATAGTTTGAAACCTTTCTTTATTTTCATGTTTAAATCACACACTTCATTTCCACAACTTTTCTCACAAACGTCAATAAGTTAAAGAGAAACTACACATGGATTTACAACAAAATTGACCTGATCTCAGAATTCTGGAGTAAGACTTTGAAATAGTACCAGATTCACAGACCATCAACCTGGATTTTCCATCTACAGAGAACTCTGGGTGTTTTTTTTTTTTTTTTTTAAATGCCATGGGGGGAGTGTTATTTTACAGTCAGACCGACACCTCTATGTATTTCTCCTGGATTTCTGGAAATGGAGGTTGAGGTACAGACACAGAGGAAATGTTCATGTTCATATTATGGAATGTACATCTAATATAAGAACCTAATACCATAAAGTCAAGAGACTCACTATTTACATTAATGGCTACATAGAGGTGTTTATTCCATAGCGCAGAGAGGTGATAGATGTAGTGTAAATTTTGAACATTTCTGTGCAAAAAACAAAACAAGAAAAATAAAAAAGGGATTCCACGTTACCCCCGAGGGTTTTAGTGCGTCTTGAGTAGTCTAATCCTCTCGCTTGCAGCCTACTTTATAAGACTACGGGTGCCTTTTGGTATGAACTACCCACATGGCGAATACTGAAAACCGAGAGCAGTAGTTATAATACTCAGGCCTTTTCCATTATTTCTGGAGTCCCCATAAAATGCACATCTCTGATCGTATATACCTGGACTCCTGAATCTATGATGTGTGTATTCACACTGCCTTCTTTGACAGGTAGCACCCGAACTTGTTTTTTGTTTTTTTACAGCAAAAAGCTAAGAAATATAAACATAATAATAGATATCCAGTTAATTTCCCATTTTTTTGTGTTTGACATCAATTATTTCAGTTTTATCCCTTTGAAGCTGCCGTCATTATACTAAGTTCCACAGTTTAAGAATAAATCACAATTAAAATGATACACTAGAAGTTCCAGTTTGGTCCTTTAAAAGGTTAAATAAATGTTAACCTATTTTATGCAATTCCACCATGTCCAAAGTGGGGCTATGATTAGAAGTATGTAAAGTAGAACAGATCTTGTCCACAATCACACAAATAAACCAATAGCTAGATCTCTGCACCCCAATTTATTATACTGATGGGATATTTGCTCTACTCTGTATCAGTCTATAAGTAGTGTTAAAGTAGTAAACAGAAAACACCTGCCGTACAGTCAATCCCTTTTACAACATTTTTTAAATGACCCTAATGTTCCCATTCTTGGTTTTACTGGAGTATACAATACACAACCCCACGGTCTGCGTGTGCCATGTCGGAATACAGATACACACAATATAAACAGTGCTGCAAGTTTGTCTAGAGAAAATGGAAGATTCTTAATTATCTGAATTCCATGTTCAGACTAAATGGGGAAAGGGATATTGAATCACAGCACCACACACACATTTTTTAGTGTTACAATTCTGCACCTGCACAGGGCAAACGTTGTCAGTGGCTAAGCAACTACATTAAAAAGAAATTGCTGTCCCCATGTTATTTTATTTATAGAGGACATACCAAAGGTGTACCAGTGGCATCAATATTGGATAATTGGCCAGAACAACTTGGTAATAAGTAAAAGAGTAAAGTTAAATATTATTAAATAAGTTCTACTTAGGGCTTCAAAATCTGTCCCTGTGGACGAATACAGACTTTATTTTCATATATCATAACTCTCACCCTTGTCTATTTCACAGCGATCAAACATTTTTAAGTGTCAATGTTTGAAATGATGATGCAGTTATTTTTTTCCAGGAACAAATCATCTAGTTTAAATAATAACGAAAAATGCAGCAACTGAGGTAGAGATTCAGTTTGCTTATAATGCAGAAGGAAAAATAAATAATGCAAATTATTAGCAAGGGTAGCATAGCAAATATACAGTTAGTTGAATTATTAGATGGTAAAACCAGATTAAATCTGTGCTTAAAATGCTTGTGTATATCAGTGTAAGCATGTACTGGTGCAAAGTGATTTGCATATGCTTCTGTTTTGATCCCTGTTAAATTACCTGTGTGTGTGTGTGTTCTGATTATAAAAGATTAAATCAAAAGTCAAGTGACCCAGATAGATAAACGCAAGATGTTTAATGGTAGACTAACCCTGCTGTAGGGCAGGTTAGCTTAGGTCATCAAACTTTAAGCTTCTTAGAGATATTTGCTTGGTTCCTCACTGATCCTGTATACCAATGAACTATCTGGTCCTGTCCTTAAGGCTGAGGATTTGACAACTATCTGCAGTGCCTTCATGCGTCATATTAAAAGGACTTTGTTGCGTCACAGAGAGTCGTCTTCAAATTCAAATGTTTTTCATCTATACATTACAGTAGCCAAACTGAAAACAAATGGACAGATATTTAATATAACTAGTTCCTGCTCTGACTGCCCAAGGTAACTGCTTACCTTACCCAGCAGTCATTGCAAACTGTTCCATACACAAAGCATTGTGGGACCTGCTAGGTCATGTGTGCAGGAAATGCCTATCCAGGTACCTGGTGCAACAAGGCGGAAATGGTTTATTAAATTACACAATTAGTCTCTCTTTGGCTAGTGCAAGGCATACACAAAAAAAAATAAAGATTTTTGAAGAGGAATGGCACATTATGCAAAGAAGGTAATCAAAGTTGAATTATCAAGGACAGGAAAGAGCGGTAGCTTGGCCTGACTACTTCCTACTTGGCACTGCTCCTAAAGAGCATTTCTCCAACCTCTATCACAATAACTATTATTATTTGAGTGAGACCTCCTTATTTGGCCAGGACCCTAAACCTTTCTGGCTCTAGAAGAAGAGGGAGAACTCTGAGAAACTGACTCACTAATATTTCCATGTTTACGTGTGTAAACATTTGTATTTATGTAAGTGTGTATACAAACGTAGGTATTTGCAAAGGGATAAAAACAGTAGCATATTTAATATATATCTATATCATGTCTTTCTTTACATAGTTATGTACACATATTTAGCACCACCACTGTTGCTTATATATTTCCATGCCCCACTTTTAGATTCTCAATTTAAAAAGTCCAGTTTATAGACATCTGTCTGAATTCTACAAACTGAAGATAGTTCATTTGTTTGAATATACATATATATCTGCTATGACTGGGGGCAGATTCTCTCTTTAACACACACATACACGCCACAATCATTATGCACCATATATCAAAGGGAAGGAGAAATGAGATTGGATAAGACAAGTGAACTACTAGGGGGACAGTAGATAGGGCGCTTTTCTGACCCCAGGGAATGTACTTCCAGTAACGTCTTCACCTCTTCACATTTGGTTGGTGTAGCCATAGTTTGGTGCAGCGGAGTACTGAGGTTCGTTCTGCGTCATGGCTGCTTGTGCCGCACCTACCGCTGCTTGCTGAACATGAGGATTTTTCCAGGCACCTGTTGTCCATTCCTCTTGTGCCTTGCTAAGGCTGCCCCCTGAACCACGGTAAAATTTATGTACCTGTTGTAGGTAAATAAGGTAAATGTAGGTAAATAATAATTTGATTTTCAATGGAAAAAGAAGCACATCAGTAAAATGCAAACCCACAATTCCCAACTCAAAAAAAATCATGTGCAAATCATTAATATTCAAGAAATCATTAAAGCGATATTAGTACATATGTATTTATGTGCAAACAAACGACAAGGACGACTTGGACATCCCCAGAGAACACTAAATCATTTTATTTTGTTAAACATTTCTTACTGAGAAAAGATTTGTATTTACAATGTATGCTTCTCTGTACTGTATTTACAGGTTGCACAGTAAGAATCCAACATAAGTAAATACAATTCAAGGGATTATTCATTAAAAAAGTATTGGGAATCCAAAGTTATTTTCAAATTTTAGATCCGTGAAAAACAGCTTACTTTGAAAAAAAGGTCTGCTATTTTGGCCTAAAAGTAAGTTGGAATTCCCAACATTTGACACTTTCCTGAATAACTTTCCAAATAGTGTTTAATATGTTAAATTATATCAACCTATATAACCGTTACGGAATCTGTTGGCGCTATATAAATGGCAATAATAATAATAATAATGGTAATTTTAAGATACCGGTGACTTCTCTATCTGCAGAAAGCTTGTGAGTGGAGATCACTACAGAACACCTCCACAGCACTATTCAATGTATCTAAAGAAATCTTTAGAATATGCCTTGTGGGAGCTAATGGAACTGGTACATGACTTGATGAAACACCCGAAAAGGCAGATCAAATGAGTGAAACTCTGTATCAAAAATAACATCCAAGTGATGTGAAGTGAATGGTATCAGAATTAATCGAGAGTTCCTTTACATTTAGTGTGTGCATGGCACACATACTTTATATACATGTTTGAAATAAAGCTTAAAGGGACACTATAGTCACCTGAACAACTACAGCTTAATTTTTTCTGTTTTATGATCTACAGATCCCTGCAGGCAATCTAATGTAAACATTGTATTTTCAAAGAAAATACAGTGTTTACATTGATTGATAGGAACATTTACAGTGGTCGTCACTCAAACGGCCACCAGAGGGACTTCCTATCATGTATGGCCCTAAAAAGGTCATGTACATGTCACACATATTAAAATACGTCTGACGTGTGCAGGAGGGAGAAGGCACTGTGTGCAGAGGAGAGGGGGCGGGCAAAGACCGCGAGCTGAGCTGTCAGCCAGCTCAGCTCGCGGCCGCGCACATGCGCGGTACTGCGCTCAGGACTTCATAGGGTGGCATGAATGGAAGTGTCTGATTGCTCGCTGCTCGCGCCCACCTATTTTGTCATTTTGACGAAATAGGGGGTGCGGCTTCACGAGGCTCCCGGCGCTGGAACCAGGTGAGTAAAAAGGGCTGCCTGGAGTGACCCTTTTACATTTCCTGCCTGTCTATGCAAGCCTTTTAATGTAGACACCAGAACAACTATATTAAATGTTCAGTCACTGTATTAGGCATTTTGCATCAGACCTGAAAGTATTATTGTTCAGTCAATAAGGAATTTACAGGGCAATATTAGTATAGTAAAATTAATGACTGTCTGCAACTCCTGTACTAACCAAGAGGGATTGATTTTGAGTCTATTCTCGTTTGTCTGCAGGATCCTCGTTAGTTGGTATTAACCCTCACCCATCACTTAATGGCTAAGTGAACAGAATACAGCTGGCTCCATGCTGGTTATTAAGAAAGCACTTATTTATTGAGAGAGTAGTAATTAGAACTCCCTAAATCTGTCCCCAAAACAAATGTGCAAGCCAGAGCCATAATTCTATCTTTTTACTATTTACATTGCTTCCCATACAAAAGTTTGGGTGCAATTCCTAAATTTGCCCTTTTTACTTGGATTTTACAATCAGAATCTCAAAACAGACTGTAAGCTGGTTTGAGCAGGGTCCTCATCTACCTATTTTTCCTGTATCATTTTGTAATGGTCTCATTTATTGTTAAATTTCTCCCCCTTTCATAATATTGTAAAGCGCTGCAGAATAAGTTGGCGCTATATAAACACCAATAATAATAATAATATAACAGTGAATTCGATGGCTGGTCTTTTTGTTTTAGTCCACGAGATGGTGGTATTACAGTAAGGATTTGATGATGTATGACATCTGTACTATAAGATGTACCATTTCTCATTAATTCAAATAAATCCCTTGTTATTGCAGCAGTCTAAATATAATTAATACCAAGGAAAGACAGTGAGTCACACAATACTGGAAACATGACATCTCGAGTTTCTGTGTCATCTAGATTTCCCGAAGACCATCTTGCGATATGCAGATGATGCATTGCAGTTATATATATATTGCTTATTGTGTAATTAAAAATGAAACTAAAACATGGTATATGACCGCATTTAGCACATTGTTGCCTGCAATAAAACCTCTACTGAGTAAAATAACGTCATCTGCATGTGCTCACCATCCACCGGAAAAGCTGTAGATAACTGCTGACACATGTTTAATATGATCTGTCTTCTGCAGTGATTTTGGGATAGGGAAAATACTTGAAATGTATATATTGTACACATTGTGCTAAAAAAAATTGTAAGAACATGTATAGATCATGGGTAAAAATAAAAGATTTATAATACATTCAGTACGCATCATAAAATCGGTTATCAAAATGATTCTGATTTAAAACCGTTAATTTGCATTCTAATTAGCTTGGAGAGGTCACAGGGCAAGGCCTTTAAATGTGTTTGCATAAACTACAGATGAAGTAGACATGTCTTGTGATTTAAAGTCCATTTCTGGGCTCTTGCGTTCACTGACCTGTCACGTCACGTGACATGTAGCACAGTGTAACTGAAATGGGTGGCAAATTCACAAATTTGACAAAGGTACAGATAAAGGATGGAATAATTTAATTATTGTAGCTGTAAATGTGGTTTGATTAGATAATTGGAAGCAGCATGCCTCAGGTTTACAGATCAAGCAAAGATGGCCAGGTTGCATTGAGTCAAATGAAACTTACATCAAACGGACTGCCCAAATATAACATTGAGTCTAAGGCAGGGATGCCCAATAGGTACCTATTTTACAACTGCAACCTCCATTAGGCTCTGAGAAGCTAAGCATTAAGAAAGATTGGGAAAGCATTAGAGGTATACTGTGGGCACGAAGACAACTTAATGAAGCAGTTTGGGTATAAAGATCTCCCCTGATCGCCCCTGATCTCTCACTGCTCAACGTTCTGCCATTTAGGAGTAAAATCACTCGTCTGGCTATGATTGACACATCCTTCATGAAGGAAAAATTATTTTATTTTTCATTCAAATGTAAACTTACTTTAGATGTTTTTATCTCCTGCTCTGTGAACTTTAATCACACACAGGAGGCTATTGCAGGATCTAGAAGGCTATTAACAGAGCAGAAAATACAAAACAGACCGTGCAATAAAGGAAACTTAAACATTAGATCTTTCTAGCTGCTAGCTAACAACCTGAAGTTGTTATGGTGCCTATAGTGTCCCTTTAAAGGAGGTATTCTACAACTGGGTATGCGTCTTTTTTGACAAATCTGTTGCACAGCATTTAGTTTACAAGTCTGCAGCTTAACACTGTGGGATATGCATATTTTCAATAAAATCTACCAGGTGCACAACGCATAACACTGATGATTCCAATTAAGGATGAATCAGCTTGTTGATGAGTGGGCTTTCTGGCACTGCGATATCAAAGCTATGCTACGATTCAAAGTCTGTTTGAGACATCAATATGTTGGAAGGATTAATGTAAAATGTGGATAGAGAAGTTAAAAGTGTCCATCGAGGGTCTGATCCCTCATGTATACTATATTTCACTATTTACCATAAATCAGTGTGGGGAAAAACAAGCATGCTGATAGTATAATCTCCATGTACACACGGTTATACATATACATACAGTTTGTGTCCTGCACCATTAACAAAGCCTGAAGAATAACTCACCACCACAACCTGGCATGTGCTCACAAATGCAGGTATCTACTGTGATGAATGTGTGAAGGCAGGGGACATACCTTCTGATTTCCAGGTGAGATGCCAATCAGCACTGCGTGCAGACCACTTCCGCGGTCTGAATAAATGTAATACCCATCAAGGCTTAATTTCCTCTCCGCAATGGTGAGAGGACAACAAGAAATTTTGAGCCCTCAATTCGTTTTCCTCAACATACATCAGAATTCATCCACATCACTAAAAATAACTCACTACCACCTAAATCGATTTCATAGTAATTCAATGAATAAAACAGCCCACACTGAGATTCTAGGGAAATGTGACATACCTTTGTCAAGGCTACAAAGCATAACACGGCCATAGCTGTAAACATGATGGTGGGAATCAGCATTACCACTGCAGATCCTACATTTGTACCAAAAAAGCCGATCGTTGCAATCCATCCACTGAGGAGCATTAAGCCGGATTAGAGTGTGAGGAGAAAAGAAAAAAAATTAGAAATAATTATTGCATTTATTAGACACATCAGACTGCGTTTACATTAAGTAAATGGCCAGGCTGCTCAAGTAGATGACACGTGACAAAAGCAAAAAAGAGTGAAACAAATAGCTAATAGGAAACATACAATACAAAGTTAATTAAACCAGATATAGTCACATTTACGAAAATTATGAGCTACCATCAGAGAGGCAATATCACAATGTTACTTGGATTCTTCTGCTGTAGAACTTGATTAAAGGAATACTGCAAGCACCATAACCACTACAATGCTTTGTAATGATTATCCTGCCAGGTGTGCAATGGCACTCTCTCAATGTGTGCAGTCAAACCATCTGCTGATATTTTTACTTCTTACCTGGGATTCACCAGATGCCAGTCCATGCCTCTTTGACAACCCTAAGTTCTCTGCCTGAGTTAAGTCGGGCAATGTTGGGCTTAGCTCGGTGGATGGGAGTGCGGAAACAGGTGCTCTAAGCCAATGAGCTTGCCAGCACGGTAGTGCTTAGTTTAAGAGAGCTAGTGAAAGCTCTTAGTAGGACCCCAGGTAAGACCTAGATCCTAAGAAGTCAAACCGTTAGCAAACCGTTTGATTACTGGAGGGGCGCCAGGGCATTCCTGGCACTATAACCACTGCAGTAGTTATGGTGTTTGAAGTGTTCCTTTAAAGACGAAGGTCACCTTAAGATCAGCCATAGAGCCTAATTATACATTGATTGTTCAGTAGAACAAAAGCAGGGTTTAAATTTAAGATGCCCGCAGGAGTCCTTATTTTACTGTTCTTTATTTGAACTTCAAAGATGGACACATTTTTCTACAATAAGAAAAAAAAAAAAAAAAGATAGTGATAATTGTATTATCCCAAAACCAACAATGAGTGAGGTTTGCTTTAAGCACTACCTATGTTTGTGTATAAACTCTATTTAAATTTAAAACAAAAATCTACAATGGGCCTGATACATAACCCATTATGCCTGTAGATTCAGAAAGATAACATTTTATATAATGAAATAAACTCACCAGACTCCCCATCCTGGGATTCCCACTGCCTGTATTATACTGATCACCAGTTGAATCCAGAACACAAAGAAGAAAGCCATGAAGTTAAAGGAGCTGTCAGTCCTGTAAAACAAATGTTTCATGTAACATAGACAGAAACGAATGTATAGACACTCACACACAATGATCAATGGAACTTACAAGACAGCAGCCTTAGCCTCCTAAACCTCTATATAGTATCTGTGCCTAAACATTAACATATAAATCTGGATTGTTTGTGGTATTTAATGAAATTCCAGTTCTGATGCCCAAAAATTGCAGACTGTATACAGGGGCTTGCAAAGTGGGTAGCCTTAAAGGGACACTATAGTCACCAGAACAACTACAGCTCATTGTCGTTTTTCTGGACAGAGTATAGACAGTCCTTGCACGCATTTTCATACAAACACTGTCTTTTCAGAGAAAGGGCAGTGTTTATATTAAAGCCTAGGGTTACCTCCAATGGCCACTCCTCAGATGGGGGGTGAGGGGGAGGCGGGACAAGCCCCCTAAATTGTGGTATTAACATTATAGAGTCGGGAACAAATGTATGTGTTCCTGACTTTATAGTGTTCCTTTAAGGTGTTAATATGCAAAAATAATACTGTTGTAATTCCACAGGGAACTTTTAGGAAGACATGCATAGAAACACAAACTTAGCTCAGTGTATTGCAAGTACTAAGCCTAACATTTAACTTGACACTATTGATACTACAGGGGGACCCTGATAAGCTCTATATCCCAGTCCAGAAGAGATACCAGTGCTACACATTTCTATATCTGACATAGCTGTGCCACCTGAAATTTTCTTTTACAGGAATTGCATTGCACTCTGAAATCAGAATCTCACACTAATAATAATGATAATGATTGAAAAACTGCTGAACACGTTCAAAATTGATCAGTTACATGATAGAATAAATATAGCTAGCTGTATAAAAGTTATATTTTATTGTTTGCAGTGTTAGTTTAGCAGTCATGCTGGCTTGATATATAACTGTTTGAATAGTAGCCTTAACATCCATGCTAAAGATGATAGGCTACATTCACTTACAGGATTTAATAAGATCATTTATTTTCTTTATTATCCTTGCATAGCGCTGCAATTCACACCTTTTTTTGCTCTGACATGGCTTTGGCCGTGATTATAAAAGGTAAACATTTATAAGAAAGTGATAATGAAATAAAGTGAAAGAGTAGGATATGTAATGGATACAAAGAAAAGAAAGAGTGATTTAGAGCTGGTGAAGTGAAGAAATGATACAGGGAGAGGAGAGCTTGACAGAGTACGTGAATTAGGATGACAGATACTTACTTGAAAGCTTTGTATATAGGTCTGAACCAGCACACATAGGAGCAGGGAGTAAAAAGGATGAGCCACAGAAACGCCAGGCCAAAATTAACGGCGCCGCCTCCTCCAATCAGCCAAGCCAGGCAGCCAATCAGATTCACCGCAAGCGTGATGCTGTTCACTGCACGCACACACGGGGGACACGCAGAGGCACACGCATGCAGCAAGGAGAAGAGAGCCACAGATCAGAGTGAAGTTGGGGACAGCCAGAGTTCAGGAATAAGGATCTGAAATCTACTACCTCCCTTTATTGCTCTGACCAATGGTTTTAGTCCTGTGATTAAAAGCTGCAAATATACTATAAACACAGCATTCACTGTAGAGAAGTTCTAGCTCCCAATGCATATGGATATAATACTAAATAGTGACACCCAGGTCAATTGGCTATAAGTGTGGCCATCTTAATAACATTTTATAATTAGACCATCTTAAGTGTGACCATCTTAATAACATTTTCTAATTACAATAGAATATGTGTCCAACTCTTAAATCGTCATTCCATGCAAGCAGCCAGAGAACTATTTATTTTAAGTCACTTAAACAGTAGCAAATATTAACTGTTTATATATATCAAAGCTACATGCTTTACCTATCATTTTGACTATGATTCCATCTTGAAAATGATATCTAGATGGCAGCAATATAAAGCAATAAAACAAGCAATCTTGTATTTACATGCTGACTTTAAAGGGAATCAACCACCAATTCTTTTATCTTCAGACTATATTCTTTAAAAAGAGACAAAGCTATGAGTGATTCCCTTTAAATGTAAGGTCACAGAAAGATCGGAAGTGAGCAACTTTGTTGCCTAAAATGAGACTCCTTCCCCATTTGATTGGATAAAATCTTTTCTGAGTAAGTCACATGTAGCAGGAAGTTTGTGTATTAATACAAATGCAACTACTGACAAGGACAAGGACAATGTAATCATCATAGGAAACCAAGTACATGCAGGCAGGAAAATCAAGGGATGTGAAATAAAAAGGAGGAAGGAAAGATGATATACCCTGTGAAAAATGCAGAATGTGCAGAAAGGAGGAGTAAGAGGGAACATTAAAGGGTATATGCATACGCAAAAGAAAACTGCTTATGGATGCACCAGTGGATGGAGAGAATGTACATGTGGGGTAAAAGAAGTGATAAAACAAGATATAAATGAAGCAGGGGGCAGTGTAAATCAAAAAAGAGAGTACAATTAAAAGCACCCGGGGTAATTAGGCAAAGGAATACTGAAAAAAGAGATGGAAAGAAAAGAGATGGATTTATATTTAACATAAATAAAACTGTAGCGGAGGATCTGGAGGTAACATAAGAGAAAGAGAAGAAAAACAGAGGAAGTAAAATTCGAATTCAAATGAAATGAGAGGGAGGAGAAAATGAAAAAATAGATTAAAATACAAACAATGAAAATGGATGAAAATAAAAGGAGCTTAAACATTACCAGGAAGTAAGGCGGGTGGGATGCACTTACGAATAAATCAAGCAAATCATGCCGATTATACCAAAACAACTGCTGAACCCTAAACAAGTGATTTGTATCACCTTTTGCAAGTGTTCCCCATTATATTCTTACTTTGTGCTCTGTCCGTATTCGTTAATCACAAGGTTCTGTGATTAGAGGTATAATAATTAGTAAGGCGACTGCTCAGATAATGAGCCATACTCACACATCCATAGGTAGTAGAGGCGCTTGGTTAAAGGTCGATGACCATCTGGTATGTCAGTCTCAAAATCCTGATAGAAGCATGGTTTGAGTGGTATAAAGCGAGGTAGAGGGGGGAAGTTATTCTGTTTCTCTGTGGGAATAAGAAGTGACGTGAGCATTATGTGTCAGAAAACAACATGGCAGTATACTGTACGGTCAGGGGTGCTAGTGCCATAGACACCAAGCAGCGGGCTGTACGTGTTCTAGTGCTTAGAAAGACCCTTTAATAACCAAGATGGGAAACACAGTGATAAGGGTTAATGAGCACCCTTCCCCCTTATATCCTGTGTCACACCATGTCAGGATGCTCTATTATAACAACTGGCCTTTGATCCTGATTTGTATCTTCTTCTTGTTCCCCCCAGCCCCCTATATCCTGTTAACACCTTATCTTTATGACTGTTGGAAAGTGTTTGTTTAATCAATGAACATCTTTTGACCAGCTAATGCCAGGTGTGTTTCAAGTTCTCTTAAGATGCATTTCACTGGACATGACTATTTATGTAAAATCTAATGCATTGTGTAAAGACAACCCCTTTTTGGATATGTACAGAATTGGATATAAGATCTGTGTCTTCTCCCATTAAATCAGGAGCACTATTCTGCCATACATTTGTGTGGACGAGTACTACCCTCCGAGCTCGTATTTCTGCTGTGTTCATTCCTTGTCTTCATACCTGAGAGCAAACATTGCAATCTGCTCAATTTATACCACAACACACAGTTTTATATATTAAATTGTTACTTGTTGCAAATTCAGTGAATTTAATGAATAACCCTGACTGTTTGGAAAAACCTTTAGTCCCCATTTCTGCAAACCCAGGCACAACTAATATCTTACCTGACATTGTGCTGCAAATCACTGGCTAAGATCAGGAGGTAAGGCTGCTGTCCTCAATTCCAGAGCAATACGAAAGACTAACAGAGAGGAAATAAATAAATAAATATATATATATAGATCTTGCTTTATAAATAGTTAGATTTTTCATCATTGTCCTTTACTCGCTCAAAACATTTATTGTAGCTTTCAATACAACAATGTTTACAGGTTTCATAAGTCATGGATAGCATGTGAAAACAGGCAGGGTGGAGGCAGGTAATGAATCATTCAAATCTGATGGCAACACACGAATTTGACAGAAGAAAGATCCTGGAAATGTACTCCAGTAAGGATTACTAAACACACAATAAGAAAAGATTAATCAATTGAGGTTGGGTTTCTGTACACATTCAAAAGGAATGACAGATTTACAATGAAAATTTTTCGTAATAATTTGTTTCTTTTTCATGAACATTTCGAGATTGCATTAACTGTGTACTGTGTCTCAATGGAATTTAGTACAGATTCAAATCACCAAAAATATCCACTAGTCTAACTTGTTAGACTAGTGGAAGCTTTCCATTAACAAATACATTATTTCCTCTAAAGTCACCTCCGAGAATGCTTAATATTGTTTACTTATCTGTATATTTAGGAAATATGTATTGATGAGGTGTGCAAAATAAATTTAAAGTGAAATAAGCGTGTATTTCTAACAGAGTTTCTTTCTAGTTATTTAGGGTTTGCCCCCTCCACTTTAAAAGTAAAATATAGAAGTTTAATTAATCTTACTGATGCTCTCAGCCAATCCAGTGTTTTCAACAGAAATGCATTGGGGGGAGGCTACTGCGCAGGAGCAGCAATCACCACACTGCGCAAATAAGCATCTCCTCAATATAATAATGTATCTCTAAGGGGAGAATTCAGTGTCTTCATGATTTGTGTGAGTATACCAAATATGGGTTCTGCAAATACTACAGGGCTCTAGTGGCTCTCAGAGAGACAGCCACTGGAGGTGTTCTTAGGGACTGCATTTCACATAAAAAAGGGACTGTTTACAAATCTGTGACTGCATGGGCGTTCGCAGGAATTTTTTTCGGGGGGGTCGGGGTTAATTGTAATGACATCCATGCTCGGCCCCTTTTTGACAGTGTCTTTAACAGATAAAGCGCAGGCATGCAAAGGGTTGAGAAACCTGATGCAAAATTAGAAGAATCAAGTTGACATTGTCTGATTTAAGTATTGCAATTTCTAATCTGTTTTAATGTAACACTATTCAATGCACCGCATTAGTCATACACCCACAATCAAAGAGCTATAACAGAATGATAAAAATAACAATGTAGAATCTGCATTTTGTGTTACATTTGGCCACAGCAATAGGTGGCATGCACAGCACTTTTCACATCACAAACACCAGATTGCACCCACAGTGCCAGGTTTCACTTGCAACAGCACCAGACTGCGAACAAAGCTATTGCCACATGAATAGGTAGCATGCACAGCAGTTACTACGGTACTAGATACAGCATCAAAAAGTACCCACAACACTTCCCGCACCCTATAAATGCCAGTAATAATAATAATAATAATAATAATATCTATAAAGGGGCTGTAGGTGGTCTTTCCAACAGAGGTCATCTCAGTATCCATTAGAGTCTCTGTGAGAAAAAAAAATATCCCCCTTTTGTGTTTCTTATCCCCTTTAGATTATTTTATCCTCCATTTTTTCCCCTCTGTGTCTTACACCCCACAATTTTTCAATTTAAGTGTCTCTTACTTCCCCCAACCCCTTTATGTGTCATTCTCCCCTTTCCCAGCCCCTCTGTGTGTCTTATTCCCCTCCCAGCCTCTCAGGAAGTATTACTTTACTGAGAGGGTAGTGGATGCATGGAATAGCCTTCCAGCTGAAGTGGTAGAGGTTAACACAGTAAAGGAGTTTAAGCATGCGTGGGATAGGCATAAGGCTATCCTAACTATAAGATAAGGCCAGGGACTAATGAAAGTATTTTGAAAATTGGGCAGACTAGATGGGCCGAATGGTTCTTATCTGCCGTCACATTCTATGTTTCTAGTGCCTGCTGACCTACAAGTAGCATGGCAGAGCGGACCGCGATAGAGGATCTTATGTATTGACTGGCAGGAACGGAAACACTCTGCTGTGTGCTCCCCTTCTCCTGGTCACCCAGACATTGCGCCAGGGGCGGATCCAGAACTTGTGTGTCATTCTCCCTTTCCTCAGCCCCTGTGTGTGTCTCTTGATCTCCTTCCTCAGCCCCTCTGTGTGTCTCTTGATCCTTTTCCTCAGCCCCTCCAGGTGTCTCATTCCCAGCGCCCCCCCAGCCTTTCCGTGTATCTCATTCCCCCCTCCCCCAGCCTTTCCGTGTGTCTTATTACCCCCAGCCCCTCCATGTGACTCATTCAACTTCCAGCCCCTCAGGACGGACACTGAATGTTAAAAACTGGTGTATATATAAGCGTGTATATATATATATATATATATATATATATATATATATATATATATATATATGTATGTATGTAGAGTTGATGGTCCGCACTCTCGATCTTTATAAAATATAACTTTTATTTGTTACATATATAAAAAAAAATATTTAAAAAAATGCCAAAAATTTGTCAACATTTGAGACAACACTCACCCCTTAAAGCATGTACCGGGGCAGCATGTAGACATAGAAATGGAAATACAAAACAAACAACAACAAAAAAGTGCAATTCGGTGTGTTAAGTATTAATTAGTATCAAAAGTGAGAAATTAAAAACTTACATTGAAATGAGCCTTTTAAAGAGATATCCGACACAAATTTTATTGCTGCACTTGCACTTTGTGTTTTTGGTGGAGGATATCACCTAAACACGGAGTTGTTTTTTTTGTTTGTTTTTTTATATTTGAGATTTTTTTGTGTGATATAAAGAGTATGGCAGGGATAGGCAACCTTTCGGCACTCCAGATGTTGTGGACTACATCACCCATAATGCTCTTACACCCATAATGATGGCAAAGCATCATGGAAGGTGTAGTCCAAAACATCTGGAGTGCCGAAGTTGCCTATGCCTGCACTAGGGTGTTCCAGCTGCTGTTATTTATATATAATATATATATATTGTATTTGTGTTAATCACTGGATATATTTTGTCCTTAGCATCTGGCATTCAGCATAGAGAACGCATCCAAAGAGGAGGAATGAAACTGTGTTTTTAGATTTCTACTGTTCATTTGCACGGTTTGTTCTGGCTTTGGCTGGAGTAATCTAAATTATGATATAATTTAATGTATAATAGAATTTATTTATTTTTTAAATGGAACACATCATAAAAAAAAAAAGTTAGTTTCAATTATATAAATTCCAGAAAGGTTAACATTTCCCCTATAATGCTTAATTGCATCTTGACTTTGGTGTATTACAAATATAGATAATATAAATATAGCTATAGAAAAATAGTATATCTATTTCTCAATTCATAGTTTATTGGAGGTTTGTATATTGAACATACATCCAAATCAATATAATAGAGGAGGTACAATAAAAGAAAATAAAGTCATACATAAAAAGGAAAACATATCTTTGTGCAATATAATAATAAAAAAAAAAAAATAGTACTCTGCATTGTATCATCATCATTTTACAAATAAAAAACTGATCTTAATAGGCATGAACTTAGCACTATAGGAGCTTAGGAGCAATAAGTGATAGGATAGGAAGTGCTTTTGGTTATTCGCAAGGTTAAAACTATAAAATGGAACAAAAAAGCCATATTCCAGTGCAATCCCCTCAGGGTGTGGTGGCAATGATGTAGAAGTGAGCACTAGAAGGCGAAAGGCTACTCTTTAAATTGCAACCTGTGAACATTAGTCCCTGGATGAATTGCTCGGGTCTGGAAGTTCCTTCTTCTGGGTCATTCTTAAGCTGTATGTCTTCCAACCTTGTCGTAGCATTTGTGGGTGGCTCAGGGGCCAAGTTGAGCTTCCGAAGGAATGTTTCTGGGCTGTCAGCGGAGGTTAAGGTGAGTGTATGGTCAGCCTTTGTGACTACAAGGGAGCCCTCCATTCCACAGCAATATTTGACAGAGTGGTCCTGCAGTTTCCTGGCGACTGGAACCAGTTGTATCCTGTCAGTACTGCAAATGGAGTTCTTCATATAAAGCCACCGAGGAGCCCTCAAACTGTATAGTCCCCAGGGCTCTGGAGCAGCCATAATAGCAGATCTTGTGGTTACATCTTCAGTGTGACAGAGCACCCTGTACCCCGGCTTGGTACCTCCGCCAAGCTCACTTCCCTAGCTGGAACCAGGAAACCTGAAGCTGTTCAGCTCCAGTCGCCGCAGCTTGATTGGGGTCCTTTTAGAGCTTTTCAACCCGACCAGGTTTTCCTTCCACACAGGTATTGGCCCCTCTGCCTATTCCACTGCAGTCCTTCTTCCAGGCAGGTATCCAACTCTGCTTGCAATGTGACTTCTATTGCCTTTACAAAGGCACTTGCTGCTCTCAGGCCTAGCTTTCTTGATTTTTCCCAGTGCTAGAGGGATCCTGCAGCCAGCAAACAGGTACAAAGACTGTCACTGGGATCCCTAAAAATCAGCACAGGACACAAGTTCTAAAAGAAAATGACTCGCAATACTTTATTTTACTTGGGACTAGTCCATACGTTCATTACGTAAAGCTTGCCGTGACAAACTTAATAAAATACAAATAACCAAAACATGTCAGAAAACATATTTTATTATTTATATAGCACCAGCAAAATTCTGTAGGGAATTATAATAAGATATTTATAAAAGGGCGAAGAAAATAATAAAACACAAAACATCTCTCTTGCCTGCAGATATGTAAATTATACTAGCTTTAGTGTACCTATAATTTTATTAATGACAGGAGGCTTCGTATTTCGTAAGTCTCTCTTTACTAGAACTCCACAGCAGCACAGAAAAACAACCAATCAGAAAAAAGTTAGTTACTATAAAACTCCCCTCCCCATGCATCATTTCCTCTTTCAAGCTGCGACAAAACAGAACACAAGGCAGAAAATATAATGGGAAGAAATGAATGGTAGAGAAGGAACTCCCCAAGGGACGTCCAATCAGGGTCCCAACTGAACTTGTGTGGTGGAATGGTGGTCGACTATTCTGGGGATAGTGAATCCAGGAAAAATTCAGAGGGATGAGAAACGTGTTTAAATATGTATCCTGCATGATCAGGCAGCCCTCTATAACGAAATCGGTAGCACGGTCGTAAGATCTAATTGAATGCAGGAGGGACGCCCCTCTATGCAGTCATCGTTGTCCTGTAAAGGTACAAGCCTGTGTGATGAACAAATGGACGGCACCGTAGTGCGTTAAGTGTATATGAGAGCTGTGCTCTCATAATGTGACCGTCTAATAATGTGACCGTCCGGCTGATAGTCTGAGCGGGCCACACCCGTTAATAACCAGACAGAGTCTACATCCGTGACCGGTTCTCTCTACGAGAATGCGTCACTCAAAACATGACCTCTGTATCCAGGCTCAGTAACGGGCTGAGGTTGAGGGAGGGCCGCGCCCTCTAATAACAGATCAGTGTCCGGTTCCGTATATGAGAGGGGTTCGCTCTCTGTTAGTGAAAGTAAAATATAATTCTTGGATCGAGGTGATGGAGGGCCGCACCCTCTTATAATCCAAACTAGAGTCCTTTAGAGATTCAGGGTGACCAACTGCAGGGGTAAGCCATTCACGAATATCAGCATAAGACTGAGATCCTGAGGTGGGTCTCTCACGGCCACGAGACCTCTCTCTGAATTGCTCACCTGAGGTGGAATTAACTGGCAATAAACCAGACCGATGGAAGATGGAATAGTATACAGCCTCGGGTCGTGTCCCTCCTTAATAACAGAAAGGGATGGTGAGAAAATGCAACCTACGGAAACAATGATGGGAACTACCAACTGACCGCGCGGTGTCCAGGATGACCGTTGGTAGCCTGAGGAAAGCTGGAGACGTTTTCTGCAATCCACCAGAGCCCGGGAGGTCAAGTTAGGCCTCTTGACGACCCGAGCGATAGGACAATTGGAAGGGTCGAAAACCAAGAAACGACAAATAATGTAGATAACGGTAAATACGTACCTCGGAGAGCAGGTAAATAGCAGATCGGAACAGCAAGTCAAGTAAACCCAACTGAAAGGGTCAGGAGCTAAACATGACGTAGGACTAACTACCAATACCCAAGATGGATACCGGAAAGGCAGCTAAAAGGTTAGTTGCTGAAGGCAAGGCAACCGTGCTCCCCCGTTGGCGTCTGAGCAATGGTCCCTGCTTGTGCGAAATTCTCTTCGGAAATGTCCCGCCGCCGGGTTGGTATGTGGTGGCGCACCCGGGATCCTCATAACAAAAAAACCTCACCCCTCAGAGTATGAGATTTAGGGCCTTCACCCTTTCAATCATATTGAGGTGCCCATGTACTGGTGTCCTCTTGGATGGTATGGCAGCAGAGCTTGCCTGGATACCCATCTATCTCCATGTCAGTAGTGGGCACTTGGCTCTTCTCAGTGATATCCTCCCAGGCCTGCAGCCAAAAGGGATTTCGGGCACAGATAGGGCAGGCCAGTCAGAAAGGTACAGATATAGCAGGCCAATCCATGGGGCGCAGACCTAGCTGGCCAATCCATGGGGCGCAGACCTAGCTGGCCAATCCATGGGGCGCAGACCTAGCTGGCCAATCCATGGGGCGCAGACGTAGCTGGCCAATCAACGGGGCGCAGACGTAGCTGGCCAATCAACGGGGCGCAGACGTAGCTGGCCAATCAACGGGGCGCAGACGCCAATCAACGGGGCGCAGACGTAGCAGGCCAATCAACGGGGCGCAGACGTAGCAGGCCAATCAACGGGGCGCAGACGTAGCAGGCCAATCAACGGGGCGCAGACGTAGCAGGCCAATCAACGGGGCGCAGACGTAGCAGGCCAATCAACGGGGCGCAGACGTAGCAGGCCAATCAACGGGGCGCAGACGTAGCAGGCCAATCAACGGGGCACAGACATAGACGGCCAATCAAAGGGGCACAGACATAGACGGCCAATCCTGGGTTGCGTCTGAACGAGTAATAAGGGACCCCTGTGTTTGGGTAGAGACCCCTAATTATCTGTAAATCTTCAGGGTATCCTGAGAGGTAGGACCCCCAGACGCCAACCCTTTAGACAGTGCAACACTGTGTTAATACAACTGAACTGGGACTAGCAGTCCCTAAATGCCCTGCAGGCAAAATAGCAGTATATAGGCTGAAAAATTACAATAATGTCCATTAAATCATGATATATAGAGCGACTCATATTTTAACCATGAATGGGTTATATATATGAACCTGCAGCCCTGTTTGAGATATCTTCATCAATATCATGTATCATCAGCATACCATGTGAATTGAATTGGTGTCAGCGTAGACTGGTCTCTCATACCAGTTTGAGCCAGAGTCAGGTATGCTTGGCTTTTTATATTTGTCATGCACAGTAAGTATCTTACTAGAGAAGTCTTGGCTCTGTCTCCAGGGATGGATCAGGAACATATACACTGAAGCACATGGATTGCAACCTAAGAGCACTTTGGTTAATTGTGCAACAAAAAATCTTCACATCTCCTAGATATGATGTCAAATCCAACAAGGAATATGGGCACTTGATCCACATGTTTCTGTATTAAGTGTGTGAACATACAGCATATACCTTGTGACTGACTGTGCTTGGGCTCTTGTTGTACAGGGGATTTGAACTCATGGAGGAAGGTTCACAGTGCAGTGCTGTTACCACTGAGCTACTATAGAAGCACACAATAGGCAAACTGTCTCTGTATGCACCATCTGCCAGAGCCAGAACCCCAGCAGGGAAAGAAAACTTGAATTCCGACCACCATGGGTGGAGGAGGGGCCGAGGGCAGGCGCACCCTCCTCTAGCCGGTCGGATGCTTCAAAAGGAGCCACGTGGCTTTAGAGGGAGCAGTCAACGGCGAGGTGGCCACGTGCGTGAGCAGGCCTGCCGCTGGGTACTCACGTCCGACTGCGAGTAACCCCGGGCCCCAGCAGGCTCACACTGCAGCTCGGGGAATCAGAGGAGGCAGCCTTTAAACGGCTAGTCTCCTGACTCCCCGAGCGGAGCGTCCGTAGCCCGCGGGTTAACGGAAGAGCACCAGAGAATGGGGTAGGGTGAAAAACGAAGGGGGGTAAGCCGAAAGGTACCCCCATATAACCACCACAATTAGAGGAAACATCCCCAAAGACACAGGGGAGGCCAATAGGAGTCAAAAGGGCTGTAAACCCAATTAAATATATGAAGCAAATATAACTAAACATAATATGTATAAGGCATAAAAATAAACACATAAATATGTAACAGGAAATTAGATATATATAAAAATGTATATATAAAATACAAATATAATATGACAACTAATACAATATATAAAATATATAACGTGAAAACTAATCATAATAAAACCCAAAGCCACCAACTAGAAACAGGAGGCAATGGTACTCTGACCTGTACTGATGCAGAGCAGCAAAGAAAGAGGAAATGATGCATGGGAAGGGGAGTTTTATAGTAACTAACTTTTTTCTGATTGGTTGTTTTTCTGTGCTGCTGTGGAGTTCTAGTAAAGAGAGACTTAGGGAAATATGAAGCCTCCTGTCATGTTATAAAATTAGCAATATACAAATTAACCAGCCTTGTTATTCAGGTAGTGCAAATTGCTGTTACTACCAACAGAGGACACTACACAGGCTCCATAGCCTAATCAACCTAGCTGGTAGCAATCCTCAGCAGTAAAGGAGAGCATACAAAATATTTATCCCTAACCCTGATCCTATAATGGGCACAGGGTGACTAAAACATAAGAATAGTTCATAAAAATAGTCTGTCTGAGGTTCCTGGTGATGGTGACTACAGTCACATACAGTAATGATGATAGTGTCTCTAGGGACCACTTATGGGGGCTGTAGATGCTTTACGAGCTCTGAATGCCGATATCACCGCCGAGGGGTTGGTACTCCCCTTGAGGCCTAAAGAGGTCACTAGCTTTTGGGTAAAAGGCAGTAAGTTGTCTCCCCCGATTCTCTCAGATGTTTGTTCTGCCTTCTGTGTCTGGATTCCAATACAGCGACAGATCTGGTCAGCCTCTGGACCAGGTTGGTAAGAGTTTCCACTTGATTTTTTTTGTCTCTTTCATCTGGCTGTCTCTTGCTGTTCCCCTCACTTCAACCACATTGAGCCTCTTTTGGATGATTCCCATTTCGGCCTGGGCTTCCTGGAGATCAGCTTTCCACACTTTCCTTAAATCCAACAGCAGCCTTTTAATACCCCCTTTAGTACGTGGGGAAGAGTCCTCATCAGACTCCCAGTAGATGTCCCTGGACCTGTTCAAGGCATTAGACTCCTCGTCCTTGTGGGAGTCCCCTGAGGTAGAGGGCTCAATTTGGGGTGGGAGACTGGGGAAGGTTGACATCCCCCCTAGGGACACCTCCAAGTGGCCAATCCTGAGATGCCCAGTAGGCAGCACTGCCATTCAGCGTCCCCACGCTCTGCATCCCCTTCCTGTGTGTCCAACTCGTCTGGTTACAAATACGTGTCTGTTAGTCCATCCATTGTACAGCACTGCAGAACTTGTTGGAGCTTTAAAAATATTAATAATAATAATAATAATAATAATAATAATAATAATAATAATAATAATAATAATAATAATGATTTATGGTCTCAAGGCAATATAAACCCAGCAGACCAATCTGGCAAATTTTAATATGTAAAATTTTAAAAGGCTAAAGCTCTATATTTGACCTTTTCAACTTTTCAAAACTCCATAAAACCTGTATACAGGGGGTACTGTTGTATTCATGAGACATCACTGAGCAACAATATGTATGTTTTATTGCAGAAAAAGCTAACAGTATTATGATATTCACAGTTAAAATGCCATGCTAAACAAAATGTATTAATTTCTCACACTTTTTTTCTAGATTTTATTCATTTGCAATTATGTTTCACATACAAATATTTGATGTGAAATAAAAGCCCTATTTCTCCTGAACAATATGATTTATAAGTGTGGGTGCATTGTATATGAAAGTTGAACATATGTAAATTATGGCTGAACAATCATTTAGTTCAAATTCTAGGTTTTGTTTTGGTCAGAACGTGTATAATTGCTTCGGGGGTTAATATATTTGGCTAATATTTTTATTGTACAGTCGGAAACTCTCAAAATGACCCGCTCAAAAAAAAATAACACCTCTCTAAAAAGTCGCTGGAGAATACTGCAAATTAGATTCAACACATAAATAATTAACATTTCTGGATCTTCATACATTTAATGTGTGTACACACGTTCACACACAAACTGCACACGTACGTGTTTTAACATGCATTTTCCCCAAACGTGCAATTTTCCATTATTTTATGCAGCGATGTCATTCAACCACCTGGCCCATGAAAATATACAATGTTATTTGCTAAACAGATTCATTTTCTCAACCCTGAATTGTACGTAGCGAATTATAATCTGAATGCTAAACAGCAACAATAGCGGAGTGCAAGAATTAATTCTGCAATAATTTATTTTTTTTTGCCTCAATTCAGATTATAATCCGCTACAATTCAGGAGTGTAACGATTAAACCCCTAAAAGGGTGAATTTGACCATTTTTGGCCAAAACAGAAGAACTGGACTCCTAGCTGAATTTCTCAAATGAACTGTTAATTAAAATTATTATTATTATTTTTTTTTTTATTCCATGCAACTCCCACCTTGGTGAAAACCCTGAAATATAAATGGTGACAGCCATGACTGGCCACTAGTGCATGCAGGATAATGAGACAGCCTGGGGACCATCACCACCACCATCACTGTGTCTTATTATTATTAGCAGCAGCCATAGCAGGAAGGTCAGGAGATGTAGTGGTTATGGTACCATCCCCCCATTCACAATGCATGGCACCCCCAGACTGGAATGGGGACCCCAACATGCATATCGTCATCACAGTCCTGATGGTGGCCTGGCATGATAATCCTAGGGAGGTCATAAGGCCACCCAGCTTGCCCCCTCCATTCCCCCCCCGTTATATGACATCATACCCGTGACGTCGCTGTCGGTGTCCCGGAGACCCTCTCTCTCTCTCTTCCAATATCCAGCTTCTCCTCCCCAAATCTCGGCTGCTGCTCCCAGTCTCGCGAGAGTTAGCGTTATGCTTGGCTGTCAAAAACAAAACAAAAACACGCTGTCAATAAAGTTTTTCTTGCTGTTTTTTTTTTTTTTTTAAATGTATATTATTACTTAGTAATAATAAGACAGACATTGTGAAATAATAAACAGGAAAGGCCAGACATGATAAAGAATAGTTGCTGATAATTATATGTAATATAAATGATGTATTAAAAAAATATTGCATTAAAAGCACACACACACACTGCAAATTGCTGCATTGCTCATGCTATAACATTAACAAATCACTGCTATAGTGTAGTAATCTCAGTTTCTTTGTCCATTTAGACTCAATTGCTATAGAGTAAAACTATTGTTTGAATGTTTGTATCTTTTATTGGAAGAGTATTTCCAAATAAAAACAGAGTTACTCTCACAGTGTAAAATATAAGAAGTATGATGTGCTTTTTAATCGTATGACGTGAATTATTATTATTTTTTTTTTATAGGAGCACTATAAGCACTATAATTACTACAACCAATTGAAGAGATTACATTGTTTAAAAAAAAAATAATAATAATAATAAATTCAAGTGGTTTCACAAAAAAATGCAATAAATTAATAAAACCGGCAATCCAAAGTTTGGTCTATCTCGTGTCATCAACCAGTTTAAATTCTGTATGATTTGTCCATGATTGAGCGAGCTGGGAAAGATTAGCTCATTATTCGCAACCTTTCATTGCCTTCCAAATCTGTAGGAATTTGTATGGACAATACAGAAGCCAAGGTATTGCCTTAATTTGGCAGAAGAACCTCCGTTTTAGTAAATTACTCAAAAATGGCTTGAGAAAAATAAATAAAAATGGCCAGCTGGAACCCCAAGACTCCTTCCACCATAAACACTACAATAAACTGTAGCGGCTACAACGCAAGGAATTTTTAGGTGCCATCTGGTCATATCATTTTTTGTCAGACGGCTTATGAATAGCTTTATTGAAACTGAGGCTCTGTTGCTATAAACAAAAAGTGGTTAGAGTGGTTTTGATGTAAAGATTGCTGAAACCTATATTTCACTATGAAACACATTCACTTTCGCTTTGAACTGCAGTTCAAAGTGAGTGTGACTGAAAACTCTCTAGTCTGTCAAGTGTGATACTAAAGGGGTTTATAAACGTGACAATTTCTCTTAAATTTCAATACTGATAAAACAGCAAGATGAAGAGGTTTAGGGAACTGGAATGCCCCCTTAAGCTTGATAAATAAAAGTTATAGACAAAACATATGTGTCTCTTTAAGACGTCAGGTAATTTAACAGCGAATAGCCACCGGAGCGCTTCGAATATATTTGATCCTATATGGAAACTACACCTTCCAAAGACAAACACAGAAATCTTGGTGAGAACAGACATACACACCCATGTTTGTTTTCCAACACTTTCCTAATGACAGTACCACTAGTAGCTGACCTGATCTGCAATATACGGTCAGTGCTGTAATACAGGCCGTATGTGAGAAAATACAAAAAAATAAATCCTTGCAATCCTGTACTAAATTAATTATTCATCGCCATGCAGCAAATGATTTAACAAGAACTGCAAGAGGGGAGTTCGGCTCAGTTGCAGTATCCAGCATTTTGCAAAACTTTTCTCAAGGTTCTCTAGTCTATATTCATATCTAAATATCCCAAACCAAATGTAGGGTAGAGTTACACGCCTTCCAACTGTCTTGCTTTAGGCAGAACAGCCCCAATTTTAGGCTTCCAAGTTTGTTCTTTTGTATCCCACATTTGGGAGGCCCTGGGAACTGTCCCTAGCCAGCACAGCATGAACGCATGCGCATCATAAGGCGTGCTTGTGTTTGGCTGAGGGCGCTAGCCCATGCATTGAAAGCTTCAGCACAGCAGTGCTCTCTGCATGGTCTGTCTTGAGTACTAACTGGAGTGTAGAGTTTCATCTAGTGGCGATTTATAACATACTGGAATTGAGGTGTGTGTAAAGCACAAGCCAACAGAGTTATGGTGGGGAAAAAATGATTGAAAATGCCTTCCATCTGAAGTCAGTGGATAGTAGTCAATAAATTGGTTCTTTGTTGAACTAATTTGGATATGCCCACCCAGTAGTAACATCAGTACAAATGTTACATTTCTGTGGGAAAAGCAAGTCTTATGACTGGTGTGGACTGGTGTGTACATAAAGATAGATATACTTGTACGGTTGTACTTCAAGAATATGGATGCAGGAATAATGTGCTGATGGATTTTAATCTAATAAATACAATTTATGGTTTATTGTTTCAGTGTTGTCAACTTTTTTTTAATGTTTCTTTAAACACTATTAGAATAAATTATTATTATAATAAATATTTTTCTTTTTTTGTATGACGATTATGCCTAGATGTTGTTAAAGGACCACTATAGTGCCAGGGCTCTAGGGTGAGGAAGGGGTTAAACTTACCTCTTTCTCCAGCGCCGAGCTCTCCTCCTCCTCCTCAGCTGAATGCGCTTGCGCGGCAAGAGCTGCGCGCGCATTCAGCCATTCCATAGGAAAACATTCTCAATGCTTTCCTATGGACGCTGGCATCTTCTCACTGTGATTTTCAGCGCGGAAGCCCTCTAGCGGCTGTCAATGATACAGCCACTAGAGGCTGGATTAACCCTTTCTCTGAAAAAGTTTATCTGAAACTGCTATGTTTATAAAAAAAAAAGGGTTAATCCTAGCTGGACCTGGCACCCAGATCACTTCATTAAGCTGAAGTGGTCTGGGTGTATATAGTGGTCCTTTAATTCAGGTAAAGGAAAAACGCACACACAAAAACAAAAATACAGTTTTAAAGTTTACAAAGCTTCTCAAAATCAAATCACCAAAATACTGGCAATTAGTATAGGGCCCACCAATATTTGGGTACTGTGACATAGTGGTGGGCTTAAAGGACCACTCTAGGCACCCAGACCACTTCAGCTTAATGAAGTGGTCTGGGTGCCAGGTCCTTCTAGGGTTAACCCATTTTTTCATAAACATAGCAGTTTCAGAGAAACTGCTATGTTTATGAATGGGTTAAGCCTTCCCCTATTTCCTCTAGTGGCTGTCTCATTGACAGCCACTAGAGGCGCTTGCGTGCTCACTGTGATTTTCACAGTGAGAGCACGCCAGCGTCCATAGGAAAGCATTAAATGCTTTCCTATGTGACGCTGAATGCGCGCAGCTTTGCCGCGCGTGCGCATTCAGCCGGCGAGAAGAGGCGGAGAGGAGGAGGAGAGCTCTCCGCCCAGCGCTGGAAAAAGGTAAGTTTTTACCCCTTTCCCCTTCCAGAGCCGGGCGGGAGGGGGACCCTGAGGGTGGGGGCACCCTCAGGGCACTATAGTGCCAGGAAAACGAGTATGTTTTCCTGGCACTATAGTGGTCCTTTAACACAATATGGCCATATGGTGGAACTGAATTCCCATATTTATTTGCTATGATAGGTGATTTCAAGTGGCCTTGTAAAATGTAAAACTATTTGTTTTTTGTGTGTGCTCTGTTCCTTTAACAGTATTTTGGTCTGTAGGGCAGCACCACTGTTTAGAAAGGTATGTTCTGGGTGTGCCCCAATACCCATTTTAAAAACATTGTTAATTAACTGTTACAAATGTACATATCCCTAAACGATTGGTTGACCCTTCTCCATTTTATCATCTATTAATTTATTAATCTATCATGATGTGACATGCAGGATTCATTGCAAGTGCCTTGGTGTCAGTACAAAGTGACATCTATCTCCCTGTTCCTATAATTCTCTAGCAAGCACAAGGCACACAGTAGTTGTTGCAATGGAGAGCAGAAGAACAACCTCTAGGAGAGTTCTGCTGATCTCCCCTGTTCCTCAATTGTCAGTATAAATGAATAAGCTGTAGAAGTAGACCTTTATGATGACAAGTTATTATACACTGCCTAGCCAAAAAAAAAAAGTTACCACCTGGATTTAAAGGACCACTATAGTGCCAGGAAAACATACTCATTTTCCTGGCACTATAGTGCCCTGAGGTTGCCACCACCCTCAGGGTCCCACTCCCGTGGCGCTAAGAGGGGAGGAAGGGGTTAATCCTTTACCTTTTTTCCAGCGCAAGGCTCCATCGGCGCTGGGGACTCTCCTCCCTCTTCTTCCGTCACCGGCTGAATGCGCATGCACGGCAAGAGCCGCGCGCGCATTCAGCCAGTCCATAGGAAAGCATTCTCAATGCTTTCCTATGGACGCTGGCGTCTTCTCACTGTGAAAATCACAGTGAGAAGCGCGGAAGCACATCTAGCGGCTGTCAATGAGGTTATTCCATCAATGGATTTTTTCTTCCCTGATGGCATGGGCATATTCCAAGATGACAATGCCAGGATTCATCGGGCTCAAATTGTGAAAGGTTCAGGGAGCATGAGACATCATTTCACACATGGATTGGCCACCACAGAGTCCAGACCTTAACCCCATTGAGATTCTTTGGGATGTGCTGGAGAAGGCTTTGCGCAGTGGTCCGACTCTCCCATCATAAATACAAGATCTTGGTGAAACATTTAATCAACACTGGATGGAAATAAATCTTGTGACATTGCAGAAGCTTATCGAAACAATGCCACAGCAAATGCATGCCGTAACCAAAGCTAAAGGCGGTCCAACTAAATATTAGAGTGTGTGACCTTTTTTTTTGGTGGCGACTTTTTTTTCCGGCCAGGCAGTGTATGTATGTATTATATAATTTTTTTTCCTAAATTTCTACACATTGCCTATCATTTCTGCATAGATTAATGTTATATTTAATTTAATGTAAAATGATGTGTACTGTACTATGTATTATTTAGTGAATGACCCTGGATGCTTCCATTTACCAGTGATATTACAAGTTAGATTTGGCACAGAGTCTGTTTATTTAGAGACATTTTCATGCCTTTAATGGGTAACTCGTGCAGTATCATATCCTGCATGACATCCAATATAGCCATAAAGTAGATAAAATGTTAAAGTGTTGCAGAATAAATCTGTCCACTCCCCATGTCACATGTAAAAACATTGCTGTTAAAAATTACACACAATGAAGCTTATTGTGTGATGCATTACACTATCGAACACTGAAGTGTAGACTGGTGAGTGCACCCTTAAAAAATATATATATATTTTTTTTTTAAGCATTCAGTCTCTAGTGTTTAGAGCCTCACTCGACGTGCACAGAACTCGAGAGAGGACCAGGAACTCGATCCACGCCTCGTTTTCATTCTCAGCCAAGTGATTGGGTAATACCACAACCAATCAACGTGATTGATTCTTGTCACGTGGCCATAGGTATTTGTAGTTAATATAAACCTTTATATATCTAAAAAAAATTTTTTAAAAAAAGCATACATTTCCCATGATTCGTTCGGCACAGCAGGTAGTCTTCTCGGTTAGTGAGGAATAATTTGCTTTCCCAGGCTCTTATCGCACTCACAGCGCCTTAAACACAGGTAGGAGGTGAAGCTGTATTTATTATGGGTCTCTCTGTGACGTCTCTTTATTGAATAGGCCTGTCTCATCCCCCAGCTCTCTCTCATTATCCAGCTCTCTCATTATCCAGCTCTCTCATCACACAGCTCTCTAATTAATCAGCTCTCTCATTAACCAGCTCTCCCATTATACATATCTCCCAATTACCCAGCTCTCTCTCTTCACACAGCTCTCTCTCATTAACCAGCTCTCTCATCAACCAGCTCTCTCCCATTAACCAGCTCTCTCCCATTAACCAGCTCTCTCCCATTAACCAGCTCTCTCCCATCACCCAGCTCTCCCATTAACCAGCTCTCTCCCATTAACCAGCTCTCTCCCATTAACCAGCTCTCTCCCATTAACCAGCTCTCTCATCAACCAGCTCTCTCCCATCAACCAGCTCTCTCCCATTAACCAGCTCTCTCCCATTAACCAGCTCTCTCCCATTAACCAGCTCTCTCATCACACAGCTCTCTCATTAACCAGCTCTCCCATTATACCCAGCTCTCTCTCATCACCCAGCTCTCTCCCATTAACCAGCTCTCTCCCATTAACCAGCTCTCTCATCACACAGCTCTCTCTCATCACCCAGCTCTCTCCCATTAACCAGCTCTCTCATCACACAGCTCTCTCCCATTAACCAGCTCTCTCATCACCCAGCTCTCTCTCATCACCCAGCTCTCTCCCATTAACCAGCTCTCTCATCACACAGCTCTCTCCCATTAACCAGCTCTCTCATCACACAGCTCTCTCTCATCACACAGCTCTCTCCCATTATACAGCTCTCCCATTAAGCAGCTCTCCCAATTACCCAGCTCTCTCTCATCACCCAGCTCTCTCTCATCACCCAGCTCTCTCTCATCACCCAGCTCTCTTATTAACCAGGTCTCCCCCATTATACATCTCTCTCCCATTATACATGTCTCCCGTCAACCATGTCTCTCTCAGTAACCATCTCCCACATCACTCAGCTCTCCTATCACACAGCTCTCTCTCATTATACATCTCTCCCATTGGACCTGTAAGTAAAACCCAGGATTGGCCCCATTGGGTGCCATGTATAATCTCTCAGAGACACAAAAACAGCTACTATACTTTCTTCTTAAATATTTTTATTAGGCGCGCGTGTGTGTGTGTTGCTAAATTCAAACTGATATTTGATCATATTACATTATGCTGGGACAGGCCTCACTTCTAATATGTATGTTGGGCAACACAGACAAAGTGCTGTGTATGAAGAGTGTGACAGTTAAATGTTGCAGATAGGAAAACCAATTGTACAATGGCAGCATATTGCAGGGTAGCACCTTTCATGCGCTATTCATCAACAGGCAGAAATTGTGTCCGTGAAAACAATATGATGGGGGTTCGGAGGACACCTTGGTGCTGTAACACTAAACTATAAATTGTGTTTTGTTCTATATTTTGTCTTCTGTTTTGTATATTACTGTGGATTTATCTCCTCACTTATAACGTAATATAGAGGGTAAGATATCCTCCCTTTGTACTTTAGCTCTCTACTATTGGTATATGTGTTTGTAGCGGTATACCTTCGAGAAGATGGGTTACAACCACCTAGGGTGTCCCTTCCAAGTGAATACAGCCCTGGAGTGATTATACCCTACTGCATGAAGTACCGCTGTCTCACCCACACACTAGTCAAGACTAGTGAAGGATGAATTAGAACTGGTTTTATGGAGCAAATTACATAGCTTTATACCCAGACCCATTCATAGTAGTACAATCCTACCCAGGCTAAATTCATTATCTGCTGGACACAGAGAGCGCAACACACATAACACTCTAAAACACAAGTAACAATGCAAAAAAGCCCCACATACCATATATCCCTGGAAAGGTCTCTCTGGAGTGCCCATTCTGTCAAAAAAGCGCTCTGATTGGATGTGACTAGCCCGAATTCAATGGAAGTACAAACTTCAGCTTGACGCGGGTAGACTCCGATCCATTGTAGAGTTCCAGAGTGCTGGGTAGAGTAAATGCTGGGTAGAGTTCCCAGGTTACTTAAATATACAGTGCTTTCCGTGTACATGGAGCTTCCCCAAGTCTGTGGTGTCATTAGATGCCTCTCCACCTCCTCTGTTAACCCTCCAAAAAGCTTATTGATGAACATGGGACTGAAAGCACTCTATTTAACGTTTTTTTTAGCGGATCGTTACTCTGCGTTCCGCTTTAGAGTTCTACACTGATTTAGGGCTACTCCCGGTCAGGCGCACCATGTCTCAGCGGCTCCTGTGGCGGTAAATAAGCGGTACTGGGTCATCAGAAAGGGCCACCGATGCTGGGAGACATGGGTTGGAGGGTTAGTCCATACTGTTGTAGTGTTTTGACAGGGTGTGGGAGTATAGGGACCATGTACAGGGTCTGTAATAGTGTTGAACTCACATTTATGAGTGTTACACCTGTTCTGCATAGTTTGACATTTTGTAATGTGGTCTGAAACCCACTGAAACCATTGTCGTTTTATGTTTTAAATGCAGGCTCCATGGTTGTTTTGATTTGAGTAAAGGTGTCATTTTATGCAGTCTTTCTTCAATCCATTGCCAAGAATGTATGAATCTGAATTGGACATAAAACACAGGAATCTATGCAGAGAAGGGACCTGCAAAACCAGTGTGCCATTGAAGGTAAGCAAAAACCTCCTTTAGTGCACCTCCCTTCCCCCTTTTTTCTCTCTCCATCTCATTCTTCTTTGAGATTCCCATCCTTTATTTCTCTTTGTATTTTTATAATTACACTCTTCAATTCCCTCCTCTTTCTAATTGCCTTTATTTATATTTATTAACTTTTTTTTTTTTTTCTTGTGTCAGATGCCAATATCAGGTTACTGCCAATTTGTTTTGCTTTCTTCATGCCCTGCTGTGGGATTCTTTTGACAAATGAATTGTGGGTAAACTACTCTTGACCATAGAACCTTGCTTGAAGTGGATCTGTCTCTTTTCAGTAGTTTAGAAAGATGCACTCTTTATGAGATACTGATCCTGACTGCATTGGGGTTTTTCTGAAATTCCACGCAATCCAGAGATTCCATAAGACCATGTAGAGACTATTTGGTCTTATGTTAAATCTAAGGTTAATAAAAGGCAGAGCTCCATTAAACTTTTTCAACCAATCATGGCAGCCATCACAATTGACAGCTGTGATATTCAGTAATCGATTGATGGAGGCTGTAACTGAATCTTTCAGTACCTGGCACTTGGGGAGGACTGCAGGTCAGTGTCCTTTCAATTGACTTTGGGCCTTGGACTGGAATTGGGTCCTGTTTAGGGGAGGCAGGTACACGGGGATCATTCAGACTGCTTTCCTACCTTGTTTGGGTTTGTGAAGTTGGGATATCCTTGTTTTAAGAGTATTATTTCATGATCTCCATTGCCCTCTGTTGGTAGAAACTGGGAAAACGCATTAATTCCATCTATATAAATATCTGTTTTCATATATTTTGGAAAGTTGTAATTGTGTTTATATAGCTGAGAAATTATGTTGCTTGTTCTTTAGCTTACGCAGTCTCGGGATCCTACATTAGTTATTAATACTAACAACGCGCTGGCAAATTCCATAGCACTGTACAATAGGTGGATATGTATTTGCAACAAGATGAGCTGGACACGGATGCACCAGAACAGAGGGTGTTGAATGCCCTGTTGAAACGACCTTACATTCTAGAGGGAGTGCGGTAAAGTGTCACGGTACGGATGGGAGGTGTTTCATGTATGTGGAAAAAATAACTTACTAGAATTGTTTACAGTGAAGAGTTAGTCTATTAGATGACACAGTTGCAGGAGAGGAAGCAGGGTTGGATACCGAGGTGCGTGGAGGGAAAGCTATAACAGTTTAATAGATGTGCTTTCCTAAAGAAGTGAGTTTTTAAAGATCTTTTGAAGACTGGGTGAGCGTCTAATGGAGCAAGGATGGGAGTTCCATAGGAACGGCGCAGCCGTGTCAGAGGCCCGAGCATGAACAGAGAATAGATGTCAATCTTCTGGAGACCATTGGGGCCTGGATACTACATAATTATGTATCCGTGTGTGGATATGTAGTTAGCAGTAGCGAGATGTAGAGATTTGTGAGCAAGGACTAGAATTTTAAATTGAGCCCTCTATCTTACAGTAAGCCAGTGTAAGGACTGAGACAAAGGAGGCATGGGAGGTGTGAGCAGAGAGGAAGATGAGCCTCGCCACAGCATTCATTATAGACTGTAATGGGACCAGCTAGGAAAGAAGATTGCAGTAGTCAAGGCGAGAGATGGGGTGGATTCGCATTGTTTTTGAGATAGAAGTGGTAGGTAGCGCTAAGTGACTGGATTTGAGGGGTGAAGGAGAGGTTGGAATCAAAGAGAACACTTATTCAGCATACCTACGAGGTAGAGTTGATGGTAGCACCACTGACTTGGAGAGTAGCAACGCTTCAGCGAGGAAAGACAAAAAGCTCTGTTTTGGACAGGTTAAGTTTAAGACAATGAGCAGCCATCCAGTTAGAAATAGCAGAGAGGCAGTCAGAAACGTGAGCGATCTGGAGAGGACAGATTTGCGTGTCATATGAATAGAAATTATCAGCCAAAAGAGCTGACTAGTTTACCAAGGGAGGCTCTCTAGATCGAAAACCGTAAGGAACCATGCACAGAACCCTGGGAACACCGATAAAGGGGTTGCGGAGGAGAGCAAGAACTAGAAATGGAATCCTTGAAAGAGCCCTGCGAGAGATAGGAGGAGAAATTAGGAAAGTGCAGAGTTTTGTAGATCGAAGTTACGGGGGATAAGAAGCTGATCAACAGTGTTGTAAGCATCAGAAAGATTTAGGAGAGAATAGCAGGAATTAAATAATTTTGGATACTCCTGTCAGGGCAGTTTTAACAGAGTGATGAGTAAGGAATTTGGATCGAAGCCGGTCGAGCAGAGAGTCTGATTTAAGGAAATCAGTCACAACTTTTAAGGATCTTGGAGGCAAACGGGTAGTAGTGAGATGTCAGTAGTTAGATGTGCAGTTAGGGTCAAGGTCTGTTTTTTAGAGTCGTGATTATGGTTGTGTGCTTCAAGAATGAAGGAAATATGCGAGAAGATTGAATATTTTAGTGAGGGTCAAAGAAGGAGACAGAGCACGAGTGAGATGTGAGGGAATAGGATCGAAGGAACAAGTGGTGGGGCTGGAGGTCCGAAGCAAAGCAGAAACCTCAGCTGATGTAGTGGGTGCAAGTGAGCATAAAACAGAGGAATCCAGTGATGCATTCTTGCTGTCCCAGTCACTTTAACAACTGGTGGGGGACGCTGGACCAACTCTTCCACAAGAGAGCTTCATCTGTTTGCTACCATGCTGCGTTTCATCACTGTTTGCCTTACAAGACGTAATAAAGCCTAGCCTATGGCCCAGCTAGCCCCACAAACTGTCGGTGCACTCACTAGGCTGAAGGGGGCACAAAGTACTCGACTGGGAGGTACCCAGAAACCCCATGAAATTGTTCTCCGCGTCAGAAGGATGTTGCGAAACTTCAAGTGGGTATTGCTCAGTCCCAGGACTACCAATTATTATTACTATTTGGAGAGGTGGTGATGCGACATCCATGGCCACCAAGGACTTGTGGGAGGTCACTTTCAGGAAGCATTTATTTGGGACCGGGACTTGGCACAAAACGGTCAGGAACTTGCCGCTGGCGCAGTGGATGGTCGCAGCCAGGTTAAACTTCAATCCTTGATTGCTCGAGCTAGACCCCTATGATCTGAGCGCTCTTTGGACATCTTGCATCTCTAAACCAGAGCTCTTCGAGGACATAGCTCTTGGGTATAACTTGTTGGAGTTGCTCTGTTTTGGGGATATTATCGTAAGTCACCCTGGTGGCTGTAGTTAACTCAAAGACTGAATAATTTAATTATGTCCCAGACACCAAGGCGCCGGAGTAGGATTGTGTTTAGTTTGATGACTCTCTGTTGGGAATGTCTGTTGAAATGTGTGTTTCTGAATAAAACTTGTACCTGTTTTATCCTCCTGGAGATTAATCTTGATGATCTTAGCCAATCCTTCCCATAGGAAACCATTGGGAGGCTATTGCGCATACGCTGCACTGCACTAATCTGCATCTCTTCAGAGATGCATTCAATTAATCCATCTATATGGGGAACAGTCAGCGTCTCCATGCAGAGCGTGGAAGTGCTGAACGCCAGTGCTAGTCTGGACTAGAAGCACAACTCTAGTGGCCGTCTGAGTGACTGTCATTAAAAACACTGCCTTTTCTCTAACAATGTAGTATTTACAGTGCTAACACTGCAGAAACAGGCTATAGCAACCGGAACCACTGCTGTAGTAGTTCTGATGGCTATGGTAACCCTTAAAAAAATAAATAAAATGTTCTTTTCCCCCTACATACTATGCTTTTTCTTTTGTTTTTGGTGAATAAAACTTATTAATAATGAGGGTGAATATACTGGTAGAAAATAAGGAATACCTACCATTTCCAGGTCTCAATTCAAAGTCTATTTTAATCTTCCTGTCTTTCAGGTTCCTGTACAGTTCAGTGATGTGGCAGTGTATTTTTCGGAGGAGGAGTGGAACTATTTAAAGGAAGATCAGAAGTTGCTCTATAAGGATGTGATGCTTGAAAACTACACACTCTTGAGATCAATGGGTGAGAATAGATAGGCTCAGAAAAATGTGCTAACATACCATGTGTAATTATGAAGGACCAGAATTTTAAGGGGACTTGCATTTGTGGTTTTGTTGGGGGACGTGATTCCGGCAATAAACAAATGCATTATACAGATTAAGGAACAGTGCACACACAAATAAAATAGTATACATTTTTACCACTTTTCTTGGCAAACAAATATGGGGATTCAGTTACACCATATGGCCATATTATATTAAGTCCACCACTTTGTCATCGTACCCCAATATCAATGGGTCATTCATGAGTTTTGACATGAGGGATTTGCATTCTAACATCAATATCAAAGTTACTAACAACCTAATCGCAGCCATATCCAAAGGCCACTACTCCATACTAATTCCTCTTGCCCTCTCTGCTGCCTTTGACATCGTTGATCATGCTCTACTTCTTCAAACTCTTCAATCGCTCTCTCTGTGACACTGTCCTCTCATGGTTTTCCTCTTATCTCTCCCAACGCTCATTCAGTGTCTCCTTTTCTAATGACACCTCCTCCCCTCGTCCTGTCTCAGTTGGAGTCCCCCAAGGCTCTGTACTTGGTTCCCTTCTATTTTCTCTTTATACTGCCTCTCTTGGTAAACTTATTACCTCTTTTGGTTTCCACTACCACCTGAACGCTGATGACACCCAGATATATCTCTCCTCCACGGACCTCTCTCCTGCCGTCCTGCAACGTGTCACTGCTTGCCTTTCTTCGATCTCTGACTAGATGTCCTCCCGCTTTCTGAAACTCAATCTCTATAAAACTGAGCTCCTTGTCTTTCCTCCTTCTAATACTGATCCTCCTCTTTCACTCTCCCTTCAAGTTTGTGGTACCCACATCAGTCCATCCTTGCAAGCGTGCTGTCTTGGCGTCATACTTGATTCTGGCCTCACCTTTCAGCCTCACATCCAGTATGTTGTCAAATCCTGTAGATTCCATCTTAAAAACATATCCCGCATCCGCTCTTTCTTTCACAAGATGCTACTGAGGAGCTTGTCCATGCTCTAGTGATTTCCTGCATGGATTATTGTAACTCTCTCCTGATTGGTCTTCCCAAAAGCCGTACTGCACCACTTCAGTCCATAATGAACACTGCTGCCAGACTGATTTTCCTCTCTAGTCGGTTCTCACACCTCACCCCTCTGTCAGGCTTTACATTGGCTTCGTGTATGCTATAGGAGTCAATTCAAGGTACTAATTCACACCTATAAAGCACTGAACAACTCTAGCCCCTCATATCTTTTTACAGATCCATAGGTATGTCCCTTCTCGGTCTCTCCGCTCTGCCCGTGACCACCTCCTGTCCGTTGTTCACACCCGTACGGCCAACTCACGCTTGCAGGCGGCTCCCTTCCTATGGCATAGCCTGCCTACTGCCATCAGACTCTCCCCTAGTCTTGCATCTTTTAAGAAGTGCCTTAAAACCCATCTCTTTAGGAAAGCTTATGGCTTCCCAGACTAACCTCTCACATACCTGTCCCTTGCTCTCTCCTAAAAGGCAGCCCACCTTATTTGATTGCAAATTCCTGTCCTATTGTGTTTTACACCCGACCTCCTATAGAATGTAAGCTCGTTTGAGCAGGGTCCTCTCCAACCTATTGTTCCTGTAAGTTCTCTTGTAATTGTCCTATTTATAGTTACATCCCCCCCCTCTCATAATATTGTAAAGAGCTACGGAATCTGGCGCTATATAAATGGCAATAATAATACTGACTTCTTAAACTGCTTCCATAGACTCCTCTCAATGTATGCATTCCTGTGATCACCTCTAAAGGGTAGAGTGGATGGGTTGGGTACTTAGCCCAGTAACAATCTGATCTGGAGTCCAACATGAAAAAAATGGTACCATGGAGAATTATGAAGCTCCATAATTTTATGGGGGACATGATCCCATGATATATTTTGTTTGTGTGGTTTTTTTTGTTTAGTTTTTTTGTCTTGTTGGGGGAAAGGATTCCTGCTATAAATAAATGCATTACCTTGATTTGCATTTTAAATCTAGGACTGTTTGCTTGTTGGCCTAAAACTGAAAAAGAACTTTGTTTAGAGGGTTACTTCCATGTTGATGGCCACTTCTGCTCTATTCCAGTGTGTGTGGTTTTTTTTTAATCTAGATTTGTCTTCATGATGCCACACTTCTAAATAAAAAAATATATAGTTAAATAAAAGAACAAATTAATAAAATAACAATTGTCATAAATCCAAACTGTGGTATTTTTTTTGTGTGTTTTTTTTTCTACTGTTCATAAACACATTTTTAGTTAAAAAAATAAAGATAGTATTGATCATTCACTTCCTATAAACACTGGCAAATACTGTGTGTCATATATTGTTTTATGTCATAAATATTAGGTTATCTCCACAAAATGCCAACGGTTGTTTCAAAGATTCAGCAAGGAGAGAAGCCTTATTTATTGGACCATATCCAGCATGGGACAAACCTGATACATTCATTCAAAGGTAAGTAAAGCAAATGTCTAATAGCACAACTTTATTATCAATGCTAAATAATACACCATTCTAAGTGTGAGAATAAAGCATAATATTTATTATGGTGTGTGTGTGTGTGTGTGTGTGTTTTTTTTTTTTTCTTCTTCTAAAAACACTTTAGACACAACTGGGTAATCCCTCAATCCTGGACTAGTAGTGGAGCCATGAGGACTGGTTTGGGAATCACTAGGGCTGGATTAACATAGGGGCTGATGGAGCTGCAGTTCCATGCCCGTGGAATAGGCCCAGTGATTATTATTTTTTTTCTTTTTTTTTTTTCTTTACTACTCTTCACATGGTCTTATTTAAGTATGGAAACTTAAGAGGGACGTAGGGGAAAAAATTGTGTGTGCTGGCTGACAATGAAATTAGTTAAGGTAAAGCTGACTTTGCACACTATGCAAATACTCTTGCTGCTTAGGTCTCGCTAACACTGTGGCATATTCCATTTCTTCTACGCTCACTACATCCACCTTTCCTCTGTCCCAGGCTGTATACCAGGAGCGTTTGCCTGCTAATAAAGTGTGGAGCGAGCGCATCATTACACATTCATGCCAAGCTCAGGGTGCTGTCTACATAGTATGCTCTCAGTTGGCCAGCCTGCATGATTGGCAGGCAGTCTGACATGCATTCACGCCAGGCTGGCCTTCTACTTTTTTGGATAGGCACCTCCTCTTTTGGGGTATGTTCACCCCTGTTGGTGGTTCTTGTTACGGGATTCGCATCAGTGGCCCACCCTTCTACGCCACCCACAGACATCCTGCTTCACCGAACCTGCTGTTAGGGGTTATGGATTTACTTGAAAGCAAAAGATTAGCATAGGGTATGTGTTTTCTTATAGCTGCATCTTGTGAGTTTCCCTCCTCCACCACATACATGACACGTAGGAGGTATGACTGTTTGTGTTTTTTGTCGATAAGGTTTAGTAATTAGGCCCATCATAATTGTCAGCACTAAGCCCAATGGGCTCTTAATCTGGCCCCAGGAATCACTGTCTTAGTGAATAACCCTGTAACAATCAGCCCCTGTCAAACTTCCTGACAGTTAATATCTGCTGGGGGGAAAGAAAATCTGTATTCAGTACATCAGAAGTGTTGGGGGGAAAAAAAAAACCACACAAATCTATACTAAATTAAAAAGGTTTAAAGGGATTCTCTAGTGCCAGAAAAACAAACCAGTTTTCCTGGCATAGAGAATCCTGGAGTGCCCCCCTTTCTCCCGTCCCCCATCCGGGGGATGTCCCTTGGTGCTGGGTCAGGCTTTGCCCACGCTGACATCCACCGGTGAGGGAGACCTAATGCTCATGTTAATAAAAACTGCACTAATTACAGGGTGATGGGAGTTGGCACCCAGACCATTTCAATGAGCTGAAGTGGTCTGGGTGCCTACAGTTTGTGTGTTCTCGTGCTTTAGACTATGGGGAGATTCTCTGCATCGTTCACTGTATTGAGGTCTTTTTTTTCCCTGTACCTATTTGTTTACGAACCACATTTACTACATCAAATAGTGCCTTTTAAAACACTTTACGGCAGAGATGGCAACGTACATTATATGCTCACCAAGTGCCATAGTGATGGATGTATTCCTCCATAAATCATTTTGTCAAAATAACTGGCAGAACTGGGCTATTGTTAGAAGCCTTAGGAGTGAGGCATTTAACGCTGGACAGTATGTTGAAGCAAATGTCATTTGTCATTGGGACACAGGCAAAAACATGCTTCTGATCCTATAGGTTTACAATAAATTGTCTAAGCTATAAATGGGGATGACACTTTTAGCCTGCTATAGGATGTTAGTTGTGTTTTTTTATTTTTTTTTTATTTTTTTTATATATATCTATATCTCCATTTTCTCTGTAAATCAATGTGGTATCTGAGAAATTGCAATATTAATATTTTGCACAAAAACATGCCTCTGGACCCGTGACTAATTGTCATAGTTTGTTATATTGGTATAATAAAATGTAATATTTGTCTTAACAGATGGTCTGGAAGGATCTAATGCCTCACCGTGTAAAATAGAAATTGATGCCCACACTGATGAACTGCACAATGACAAAAGGTCATATAGAATGCCGAGACAAATCATAGATGTAAAGGAAAGCTGTACACCCCCATTCAAGGTGTATAACCTGCGTAAACGTGTACCGGTACAATACACAGCAGATTCCGACGAAATGGAGAAATGTTCCTTTAAGAACTTGCAGCTGAACAATAATACATTTGGTGGACCAGCTGAATGTTTAGAGAGAAAGCCAGTTCAAAGTGTTTGCAAAAGAAAGCAAAAACCTGTCCTGGGAGAATCACCGTATCCTTGCAATGAATGCAGTAAAAGCTTTGCTAATAAAGCCTACCTAGTCAATCACCAGAAGTTCCATACTGGAGAAGCACCTTATGAATGCTCAGAGTGTGGGAAATGCTTTAAATTGGTGTGTCTCTTAAGGAGACATCAGATCATTCATACAGGCGAGAAGCCTCATGTCTGCAGTGAGTGTAGAAAATGTTTTACCCACTATTCCTCTTTAACGAAACACCAACGAATACACACAGGGGAGAAACCACACAAATGTTCTGAATGTGGGAAAAGATTTACCCTTACCACGTATCTTATAGTACACCAGAGAACTCATACAGGAGAGCGACCGTATATTTGCAAGGAGTGTGGACATACCTTCACACAGAGCTCAGCATTGACTATACACCAGCGATCACATACGGGTGAGAAACCTTATATCTGCACAGAATGTGGAAAAGGTTTCACTCACAGATCACATCTGATCACACACCAAAGGTTACACACGGACGAGAGACCCTTTGCTTGTAAACAATGTGGGAAAACCTTCAAGCACAGCTCCTACCTTATAGTACACCAAAGATCCCATACTGGCGAAAGACCTTACTCCTGTCATCATTGTGATAGAAAGTTTGCACAAAGTTCACAACTTGCAACGCACCTAAAATCACACGAGATGGAGAACAGCATATAAACTACCTGGAACAAAGCAACATTCGTGGTACTTGAACCTGTTTCACTTTTTTTTTTCTTTTTTGACAAAACTAAATTAATCAAATTGATGCATCAGTTCTGTTCTTTGTAATCACACCAAAAGTGACAATATTTATATATAAAAAAAAAAAAAAAATTCATATATATTTGTTCGCGTCTTCGTTTTTTTTGTTTGGAAGAATAACTATAATTTGTAATGTTTTTATTTCAGTCCTTTTTAAACATGTTTGTACGATCGATCTAGTTCGTTATGCATCATCAAAATAGTTTTTGTTTTTTGTTTTAATCAAATACACATTATTATGAAATCTTAAAATTAAAACACTGTATTTCAGTCAGAATCCATAGGTTTAATATACAAACCAAATCTTCTCTCCTGATGCAATCTATTGTGCAATCCGATACATTCCCTAACAAGGTACTAACAATTTTTTAAATGCAAATGGGTATAGTCTATTAAATAACTTACAAATAACACATTGACAATATAAAAAAAATGTATGTATATAGTTACAGTAAGTAGCTTTTGGGGCTTGGAGTGGCTCTTAAGATAGGCACCTATTTTTTTGTTTTGTTTTTAACCACAGAAAATGCATTACACTCATCGCGAACACAAAAGGCGAAATGTTGCGAAGTATTGGGTGTGAAATCATGAAGTTCCTCTGAAAATGCTGGCAGTTCGTCAATGGACACATAACCTATTGGGAAAATAACACATTTGAGACTCTCTTTAGAAAGATAATAAGCTTCTGTTCAACTTTTAACATGTCTGTGTTGAGTACACCGTTAGCAAGTGTATTTTGTTTATTATTTTAGATTTTTGGCTGCACATTCACTGTGGTTCTCCCTTTCAAGCTGTATAGAGGAGCCATAATTGAATGATCTGTGAGTTTTAGTGCAATTTCTACAGCAGCTTTAACTGTCAGAAACCTTGCCGCATTCATAAAATGCATAGACTTATGAGATGAGCTCATAGAATGTTAATAAAGGAGCATCATGACAGGTCAATTCACTTCTTCATATGGGCAGATATCAATGCAAAGACTAGGGATTTATGATAAGTAGATTAATCTGGGGCGGGGCCGGACCGCCATGCTGAACGATCGCATGCAGGAGAGGCTCCGGAGAAATCTGGCCTCTTAAGCTACACTTTAAAGCTTCTGACCCTAAAAATACACACAAGATACCCATACGGCTGCGGCGGAGGTAGCAGACACCGAGATCGGGAGTTTCGGAGCCCCTGGAGACAGTACGAGGCTTCAAATGCTGCGGCCTACCCAGGAGAGGAGCGAGGTGGACGGCCGCCACCATGCATCCCTTTCCAGCTGCCACACGCCGACTTCTAGTGTCGCTTGCCAGCTCCGTCTCCCCCCCCCCTTTGGGCCGGGGGATCATCCCGGTTTCCACTGGGACAAGCTCAAGCAATGAGGAGCCTGAGGCGCCCAGAACACCCAGGGCCTACCTCACAAAATGGTGGCGACTCAGGGCACATCACCAACTGCGCCTGCACCACAGAGTCCACAGGAGACACAATTTTGCCACCAACCCTGGCGGAGAACCCCACAGCATGCCCAGCGACAATTAACAAAGGGGACGTGAGCGCAAACTACCCGGTACAAGACCCAAGAACTGCACCAAAAGCTGGCCCTGGTGTTGCCCCCAAGATGGCGCGGAAGCAGAGGCTCGCATAGAAGCATGAGCACAGCGGTGAGGATTATACCCTCCACTCTGCACCGGAGTCTGTTTACCATCCAGAAACATACCGGGAGAGGTGAAGCTACACCAGATATGGGGAATGGTGGTCACCAATCTACAGGCAATGGCTGACTGCTATGCATAACAATGTCAAGTTATGGTACCATATGCCAGTTCATTATAACCCTGATGCCAATCTTTCGGGCACTGCAGGGACTACCGTTCTACCTTGGGTTTGTCTTACTGCCAACCTCTTATTTCTGGACTGCATATCTGAATCTAACTAGCTTGTTCTTTAGAAATTGCTATCAAAAACAAATATGCATACTGTGATTCATTAACCCCTGACAAGCAAACAAAAGCCGCCTAGCTTACCACTCAGACCCTATATGAGACCCACTTTTGTTGGCCACGCTTTACTACCCAGTGGTACTGCTGTGAATAGCATAGCCAGTCTATACAGCATGACACTCCCACCTCTCTATTAGATCACCACAGACACGTGATCTGTCCTTTTCATACTGAGACCACTCAAACAGTCAGTCCAAGTAAAATGTTGACACTAATCTTAACGTAGACAAACAATAAGAAATAGTATGTCCCAGAATAGTGTGAACAGCTCAAACACACCTGTGAGGTATCCCCTTCACCCTCACACATACATATATTATACACAAAAATAGGTGGAGCTGTAAATACTTCCCTCTCTTCAAAATGCAGCCAACAAAGCTGGAACAGAAAGAGAGGAGAACACAATAGTGCAGATAATTTTTATAAAATACAGTATAATTGAAATATCTTTAGACTGCACACTCACATATATAGAGCCATAGAATAACCTGGCTCTGGTCTGGATGTCAGTAGGATCCTTAAATGGAGATCCAAACCGCACTCCATATGATAGGGAAGATTTTCAAGTAGTATTTCAGGAATAATAAAATACTTAAAATTCTATAAAAATAAATAATTTATTCCAAAACAGGTCAGATAAAAAACAAAAGCATAATCAAGAGTCCAATAGTCACCAACACATGTTTCGCCTGATAGGCTTACTCAGTTGGTGTATTCTGTGTATCAAAGTCCCTGTGATTCTTTATATGCGTCCATTTACTGCAAATTTGCGATATTTTTCTCTGAGGAACGCATCCTGCATTCCATCCAGCGTGGGCAATCAGCTTCCTGTTCGGCTTGATCTGTTGGCCGTCAATTTCCTGTTCGGCTGGTCATGTGATCGGGTACGTCCTTCGTGGAACGCACGTGCGTTCCATTAAGCATACACGTCCGCCTCCTACACTGAATAAAAACGGATATGACGGCTGTGGAACGCAAATGCCTTCCACCAACAGAAATTTAAAGAAACATACCAGACAGAGATGCATATATATGAACAAATAGTAATCACATACAAATAAAGTCTTATACTAGACTGGACAATTAAAAAACAAAATAGAGCAAGACAATGGGAAAAACAGAGAGAGGATGAAAGTGGTGATTAAAAAAGTATATATCACCACTCCTATAGAAAGTACATGAGAAAGGAATTGTTGGCAATAGAAGTGACTTCTACCAATTATATCTTATTAAGTATATACACATAAAATATAGATCTAATATATATGTACATATCTGCATAAAAATAAATAAAATAGCTCATATAGTAATACTAAAAATGAACATAAAAAATGGCACAATTCAAAATCTTGGTTCAGACCATTAGGGATAAGTGTATTAAAATTATAAATACATCTCATCTCATCTCCTCACCTATTTTCTTATTAAAATCTCCACCCCTCCAATTTTTTTTGTACCAATTTAATTGCGCAGAAGAATAGGTCTCTTGGATTGCTATTATGGTGAATTTTGTAATGTTGTGAAACACTATGCGTTTCTAGACCTTTTCTTATATTGCGTACATGTTCTGCAATTCTAACATGTAAACACCTGATAGTCCTACCAACATAAATTAAGTTGCAAGGACACTTTAAAATATAAATAAAGTTTTTTGAAAAACAAGTGAGTTGGTCTTTAATAACAAATTCTCTATTATCTTTATATGTAAAGGAGGTAATATGTATTTTTATATTGTTTGTTTCTCTACAAGCAAGGCAGGATCCACATCCATAAAATCCTTTACGGATGTGTTTTAAAACTACTTTTCACTAAAATCTGTTTAAGATTTCTACATCCTCTATAGACCATTTTAGGATTATGAGGTAGAATTTGATTTAATAAGGGATCTTCTTTTAAAATTGGCCAATAATTTTATTAATTTTGTTATTATTGCCACTATCGATATATCAATGATAGGACACCAAGTTCGCTGCCTCCACATGTGGAAACACTAGCTTCTCCTCCCAGTATGTCATAAAAAGGTTTGCATAACTGGGAGAGAACTTGGTTCTTGGTGGGAGAGAACTTCTACGTATAGCACTAACCAAATACATTTTTTAGATTTGGAAGTTTTTATTCTAAATTCTATTATTCATACTAGGAATCATTTTAAAGATGTTGATGCGAACAGTTACATCAAGATGAATAGTTGCCATTATCCACCATGGCTAACCAACGCACCCAAGAGCCAATTTTTACAGATATGGAGAAACTGTACGCAAGACGTTGACTATGTTACCCAAGCAGAAAAAATTAAACAACAATTTGCAGAAAAAGGCTATGACACCGGAAAACTACAAAATTGCATGGAAGAAGTTAAGAAAATTGAAAGAAAAAATCTTATATGTTAAAATAAAAAGATACACAATAAATCTCCTAATAAAAATAAGGTCGACATACCCTTTATATGTAACCATAGTGGCAAAAATAAAATTATTAAAAAATATTGGCTAATTTTAAAAGAAGATCCCTTATTAAATCAAATTCTACCTCATAATTCTAAAATAGTCTATAGAGGATGTAGAAATCTTACACAGATTTTAGTGAAAAGTAGTGTGACGGAACGCTGGCACTCCGACTGAGTACCTCTGCCAATCGATGCTCCTAGCGCTTGCCGAGGACTCCAAGCACTCCAACCGACACCATCAGCACTGCAGACCCCACTTCCAGCGATGCAACTGCGCTGGGGTCTCTACTGTCTCCACCCACCCTGGACCCAAGGCCAGGATCCAGCTTCCAGTGGGTGAACCTCTCTTTCCCCAGAGAGCAGGAACAAGCTCTTAGCAGAACTTAGTGATCATACCCTGGGGAGTATAGTGATTATAGCAATCCCCAGAGTGTATTTCTCCAATCCCCCAAACATGAGCCAAGGCTTAATGCTGGAACAAGACTGATTTACTGGCACACAGAACTCACAATTTATGCAGCACAAAACTCCTCCTCTGGGCCAGGCTAGATAATTGAGTTTCTACAATACACAAAGCTCAATTATCTGCTGGCCAGAAATAATACAGTTTCATAAAACACACAGGGACCCCAAAACATGCAATAACCCCATAAAAAGTATATCCTTGGAACCGGGGGATCTGGGTGAACCACATATCCAAAATTCACCCAGATCCGTTCAGTACTTTGGAAAATACAGTTTAATGCAGATTCTGCAGAACATATACAGGCTAAATGAAAAACAATCACTTTATAATGTGTCCCCTGCTGTATAGTCCAAAACCACTGCACGATGTCTCTGTGCACCAAATACTGGCAAGATGGCACCGTGTTGAAAAGTCCAAACAGTGTCTGTGAGTTAAAATGGCTGCCATCCATTGTTCTCACCATGTGCTTCTGATACAGGAAATGGTGGCCACCCAGTAACTCCACAGTATGTCCCCAGATGGTTCTTAAAGGGCCAGCAGCAGCACAACACAAATCCATTATGCCCAAATCATGTCTTTAAAGGGCAATACATCCCAGGGGCCATAGTCACAGGGCAAGAGGCGGGCAAGCAGTCCTCTCCAGGCACAAGTGGCGAAGGGCACTTCGTCACAA